TAATTTTTAAAACCAACAAAAGGAAGTAATGCTGAAAGCTTTTAAGATCATACTACAGCGTAGAACCCGTTTATAACGACACCGTTTTACATGATATATTGTAATATGTTAGTATTATACGAATAACATATTATGGTCCTGGTAGTACGTTAAAGTTATAATTGATTAGTACGGCGTATCAGATGAGACAACCAATTATTCTTTTTTCTTTTTTTTTTTTTTTTACTGGTCTTTTCAATGTTGTTGTAAATTGCTTATATTGACATTTTATTAGACTATTTAATTACCGATTCAATTAGAAAAATTATTATTTATTTACAATTTGATGTTTTAATGTTAGAATTAAACATTTTTTGAAATGTGTGTTTTTTCTTATATTTAATTTACAATGAATATAACTTTAATGGTGGAATACTTTTGAGAAACCACTTCCCTTCCGCAATTATATTATTAGAATAAGTAAAGATTACTGAGATTAATTTAAATTTGTCACAAAGTCCTATATCATACTATTTCTAATAATATCTGAGTTTTGTATACAAGTACCAAATATGTGATACATAATCATTCTCGTTGAAACCAGTTATGATATAAAAATAAATAAAAAATACACAAATTGTTTTTCTTTACTACTCATATTATTTCTGAAAATAAAATTATGGACTTGAGTTAAGCAGAATCATTAGAACACTTTACAAGAGTTATCTCTTATATAAGAAAGAAAAAGTTATATAAGAAAACGTTTTTAGAATATATAAATCGATTTTAATATATATATTTATATTTAGACATCTTTTTATAGAATTAAAGTGTCAAACTACAAAATGCATATGATAATCCAATATTAAAAAAAAAACTTATATTTGAAGATAATTTTAAAATCTGCAGGTATTGAAAGCCGATTGATTTTAATAATTTAAAAATTATTTGTAATTGTAATGACCTAACCTTAATTGAAAAAGGTAAAAGTTATTTATATGTAACTAAAATTATTTTTGTACAAAAATTGTCTATTTTTATCATTGTTTATAATAAAATAGAAGCATTATGCCTATTTAATATTTATTTTATTTTTATGGTTTTATAGAAATCAAAAACCTAAAGTAATCATTAAAGATAGTGTTTGGAAGGAACGTCATTCTCGTTGATATTTTGTTAACGACATACAAATGACACTCGTATTTTTTCAAATATAACATGAACGATGTTTATATTTTTAATGAATTTGAACAATTTTTTTTGGCTTTCAACTGTATTTGGTATTTTAAAAATATACGTGTAAATAATAAATATTTAAGTGCGAGTATATGTTTTAAACATAAAGTAAAATATACCTAAGATATTTTGCAAAGGTTCCGTTTATATAGAATGCTATAAAATAAAAAAAATTAACGGCCAAACTAATGCGTTCATTTTTTCATAGAACATGAACGTGAACAAGTTTTACTTTTAAGTGAAAGTTCTGAACACTAATTAAAGGTTAGAGTTTAGTGTCATAGGTCTATGTAACCCTCAATACTTCGATTACAGTAATCATTTTAATTTATGAAGTATAAAGTTTTATATCTAATTTATTCATATTTAGTTCAGAATCTAAACATTTTATAAGCGTAGTGGTTATTAGAATTCATATAAGATATAAAAATTACATACAAACCAACATTTTTTTTTAATTTAATATAGTATTTTTGTTGTTTAATAATTGAAATAACAACATTTTTAAATTTACATAGTTATTGCAATGATTAAATGTAAGTACACATTATATAACAAGAATTATTAATGTATGTTAAAACTAGTAATTTTATATAAATTTACTTCAATTTGGATATTAAGAAAATTTTGCGATAGTTAAGTAGATAAATAGATTTTCATTATGCTGTTTACACGGATATATTTTTTAAATATTCTGAATTACAAAATAGTTTAACCATCATATGTCATTGAGTATTTGTACAACTATGTATACTAAGACTAAATTGGAATCAGCCCACAGAATCTCTAAGGAATAATTGATCTTCAGGCTCATTTCACCATTTTACCTTCTGTCGTGTTATGAATTTATTCATTTTTTTCATAACATTTTGAATTATTTGAACTTGGATAGAGTCGTAAACGGCCACGAAACCCAATTTACATAATGTCGTTTTCTTTTTATAAAGTACACTACGTCACGACAAGATTTGTATTAAATGACGTTTTTTGAATTTTATTTATCTACAACTATCAACTCTATGCTTCTATGCGATGGTATGATGTGCTCTTATATTTGATTTAAACGAAATAGTATAATATTATATTAAAATTGTACAATTATAGTTTTAAGAATTATTTAAAAATAATTTTTATTTTTCTTAAATTCACTAGTAAGTATAATTTAAATGAATACTATAAAATAGTTGAATTTTACAATTTAAAGAATTTATAGCTAAATTTTAAATTTATAGAAAGAGTTTGCAATCGATTTTCGTGAAACAAATGATTTTACTTGGGTATATAATTGACACGATATGATATTTAGGCTATACGGTTATTTGATTTATTTTTATTTTTATTTTTTATTTTAAACGCCATACGACTTTTAGAATATAGTACATATTAATGAATATACATAATAACATATTTATATATATAGAACACATTGAGTATCAATAAATTAAGATTATACAATATTATATAGTAAGCTCCAGAAAGTTATATTATATTTATAAAAATATTTGAATGTTATATAGCTTACAATATTAGAACTTTGTATAGTTTTAAAAATATATTTTTACTAGTAAAATAATGGCATCAAAGTTTTAAAATATAAATGAGGTGAGTTTTCTCACCTTAAATTTAAGTTTTCAAGACACTATCAATTCAGAAAGTCCAATAGTAATAAATTTAAGATTCAATTTATATAATATGTGAGTTAGTCAGTATGCAAAAGTTATTTTAGCTTGAATAGTTTTTATGATTCTGGTCTTGGAATTCATAATGGAACGAAAAAGTTTGAATATACTGTTTTATTTCTAGAAATACTTTTTAAAGTAGTAAAAATTTTAATTGCTTTTTTTAGTATGAGTTTTAGATTTCGAGTATAGGCGAAAAGTATTATTTACATTGTGTTGTAAATAACGATAATTCAAGCGATTAAAGTAAAAAGTAAAATGTTTTATTGATTTATATGAAATTTTATAGTACAGTATTTTAGTACATAAAATCTAAAGAGAATTTTTTATTTTTTTGAGCTTTGACCAACTATATTGAAATAATAATTCACTGAATCTTCCCTTAATGGATACCTTTCAGATTTTAGTAGAATACATTTCTTAACATCTACCAGACGAATGATTAGATGTCGGATGAACCCCATTGAAACCACAGAATTGTGTAATAGCGAAATCCTCTGATCAACGGGTAGTGATGAGTTTTGGTATTATAGTGGATCAAAAAAACTCTCAGAAGCATGTAACGAGAACGAATTTTTCAATAACTCTTAGATTAAAGAATTATAAAAAATAGCTTATGGTTTCAATTATAAACACTAAATATTTCTTTAATGTAGCCTTATGTAGAGAAGTTATATAATGTGTTACTGAAATTATGGCTTTATAGTAACTATAGCCAATGAATATTCAGAATTCTAATTCAATAGATAGAAAGCCTACAGAGTGATAATTTATTATTAAATATTTTAGGCATTATAAATAACAGATAATAAATAAATAATAGATTACAGTTAACTTTAAAAAAGCCACCTAATAGCGACACTTTATAATAGAAATTTGATTCATTTATGAAATTATTTTAATTTAATTTTTTTTTAATTGTGGATTAGATAACGACACCATATTTTCTATCGTTTGCGAGGAGGACTATCTGGAATGGAGTCAGAATTTAGCACTGATATTAGGAGATTTGGGTGGTTAGTTAGTTGTGAACGGAATCGTTTATATATAATTAGTATCTTTGCAGTTACGTCTACTGCTACTGTGTTGATTCTTAAGTCAATATAAAAAGTGTAATTTGAAACATAGAATAGAGCATTGTAATTATGCGAAGGGATTAGATTGAAAGGTTTGAATTTTATTTGAATTACATTTTTTAGCACTATAGTGGGATGTTGTACGTCCAGATAGGGATCAATATAGTTTTGTATATGATTATTTTAGTTTTTATGTTAAGCTTTGAATGTTTATTGATTAAGTAAGAGATTTCCGTCTAGTGTTTAAGAGAATTTATTTGTTTTTTATATGATCTGCCTATATTAAACGTTGATCTAAAATTAAGCCTAAGTAGCGAGAGCTAGTGGCTTTTGGGATGTTATCTAAACTTTAGTTTCTAAAGCAATAGGTGGTATTATTCCTAGCTTTAAGGTAAAGGTCAAATTTGACGATTTTACGTAATTAAATTTTATTTTCTATTTCGTGTACTAAAACAACATGTGGTTTAAATGATTTTATAGGTTATAACCAACAGTTATTGGATTTACAATCGTAGAATAAATTATTTATTTTAGTACGATTTTGTTATAGTACAGGACCTAAGTATTTAAGTATTTATTTAAAAAAAAAAAAAAAAATGTAAAAATAATAAACAGAATGAAAGTTACTCCATTTGTCGAAAATCTTGGGACACTTTGTTTATATCGAAATTATCGTTTGGGACGTAAAGAATTTGTCTATAAATATGAAAGGCAAGTTGCTTTTGAACATGTGGGACGCAACTTACCTTTCGAAATATTGCAAATTCTTATTAACTATCTTACAGGATGTAAGTAACATACAATTAAATATTCAAATTTCAGATTTGTAGAGAGTACGAATTACTATATTTAGTGGTTAAGTCTTCTACATTTATCAAAGAGTAATCTTATGATATAAAGATAGTTATGATTATAATATATAATAAATTAATGATAACTATAAAATAATATTTAACTATATAGTAATCTTAGGTACAAAAGTAGCAATTTAGTAAAAAATAATAATCAATATTTAATGATAATAATTTACCTGTATCCGAAGAATCTTCCGTTATTACTCGTTGAATTTGTCGTTCAGTCTTTTCTTGTTGATCCAAGTATCCAGCATTAAGAACTAATGTTGTTCCATCATTTTGATCAGATTCCGTGCATTTATTAGTCATTTCTATGTCGTAGTCACTAGAAATCATAAACGCATTTATAATTTTGAATACGAGTACTGAATTTAATTTTTAGCTGTATTATTTGATTAATAATTTTTAGTGATAAACATTAAAAAATTATATAAAAATATTGATACAAAATATAAAAAATATATATAAAAAATTATTGATACAAGGTTAGTTTAGATTAATTATTAATATTTTGTAAAATCAAATTATGAACTTTATATTGTCAAATATAATTATCAAGCATATTCATCATAAAGTATTCAATTATTATTAATTTATAAACAATCGAATTCTTGTGGTAATTCATGTCTCATTATTTTATCTATTTAAAATCTTACCAGCTTGGTTGGCACTCATATGTTTCATCATTCGTTTCATTGACGGTTTCTATTTTCAATTTTTTCTTTTCATTTTTTATTCGCATTAATTGCCTAACTGTGTTCTCCAATTTGAAATTTACGGAAGTATCACAGCTAGAAGTTTCAGTTCGCGATTGTCGACGCTTTCGTTTTCTAATAATTGAACGAATTCGTTCGAAACTTCTTTCTAGTTTGGAACCATCTCCGACTTCCTATAAAGAATAAACATTAATTATTTTTTTATATTTAAATTACAATTATCATTATTATGTATCGCGATTATTATTATAATTTTATGTGGTAACGTATTTATTGAGAAATTGTGCATTTATAATAAAAATTTTATTTAGGAAATCTTAATGCTAATATTAATGTTTCTTTTATTATTTATTAAATATATTTATTCATCACGAAACGAAAAGAAAAAATAATAAATATGGTGAATTTTAAATTAATTAGGAAGACATATACACCCACCATATTTAAGTGAAGACATACAAACACGTTTGCGTGCATTTTTGGGTGCGAATATTATTAAAATTAAAAAAAAATTAACATTTTTAGATAAAATATAATGTTAATGCACTTTATGAAAATAATGTTCGCATATTCTCTGGAATATAGTAGCTACTTATCGTCATAACTAGACTATATAGTCGTTATAACTACCAAATGAGATGTAGAGAAATTCTCATGCGTGCAGTCTAAGACTTAAGCTGAATTCGACTGGTCCATCTAATTAGAAGTTCAATACGTTATTGATTACCCTTTTGATTTTTGTTATATAAGTATACCGACCATAATTGGGTAGTTTATACCACAAGAGATAAATAGTTTTACAATAATACATATTTTATAATGTTTAAACTATCTATTATTAATATAACCATACACGTTTAGTTAATTCAACTCACCATTAATTAATATATTTAATAATAAGTGAATTATATACATATATTTTTTTAGTTTTATTGTTAATGCTGTGGCTTGATTTTACACATCGTATTGTTTCTATTTAAAGCGTTTATAGATTATACAAAAGCATCCGTATGTTTGGATGTATATTGAGTATTATATTAATAGTAAGATAACTAATACTTGTTAGAAATGACAAAAAATGCTTCGCAGTCGGAGTCCAAATATAAACTTTACAGAAAATAACTATCATATTAAATATTTATCTGAAGTATTAGTATAATTTACCTTTTACTAATGATCTTTTATTTATATACATTTTTATATTTTAATCACTTTGTTGGTAGTATCGGGTCTTTAAATTTTAGCTAAAATATTGGAAGTTATCAATACAAATCAAAAGTAACAAGGGCATTTCTAAATTAACATTTTTTAAATAAATTCGTTTGATGTAAATTCAAGAATACCAAAAATTAAAGAAAAAGAGTGATTAAACATGTTTTCAAGTATTGGGCCTAAGTACAAAGTAAAATAATAGAGTTTTAATCTAATGGAATACTTGCTTTATTGATACAGATTATGTTGGGTTAGGTTACGAATTAGAGTTGTCCAATATAGATTAGGTAGGTTAGGTTAGGTTAGGTACCTACGTTATATCAGATTTAGGAGATTTAATGTCTGTGGCTAATAAAAATATTTAATAAAATAAAAATATATTTAATTGGAAACACGGGGTATGTTTATAACTGTTTTATTTTTCATAAATTTAAGAGCGCCCTTATACTAACAGCGCCTGGAGCAAGCATATTCACATCCTCCCCCTAGATCCGGATTTAACTATAACACTACAGTGGACTATGCTCAACAGCCAGTTCTTCCTCATTAGTTTTAAAATAATATTACAGTTACTTTTTCTATTTGGACACTAATGGTTTCTTATGGAATAAAAAAATTGGTGTTTACATTACGTGTATCTGTAGGAAGTCATGGCTTATTACTGATAAATATCCCCTCACGGACTCATAATAAATGAGCGATGAACACATCGAGTAATAGATAAATAGTCTATGAGCAGTTTCCATTCAAGAAATACAAATGTAATTGTTTTTTCTTTAGTCCGGTTTTAGTGTTGTCAATTATTTTTTATTACAGATTAAATTGAATATGGTTAATATCAAATAAATAAATAAATAACAAAATAACATAAATAACATATCATGTCCAATAACGAGTAACAACCGAGCAACAATAATATCGTATTAAATCCAATAAAAGAACAAATATTTCGTTTGCTTCAGTAACTTTACACAAATTTTAGTCAACAGAATTAAAATCCAAAAGTTGTTAATTTATTTTGAATTTAATATTGTATATAGTAAAGTATATACATTTTTTTTTTATGTTTATATGAATATTTTTCTTTATTTGTGGACTTTGTGGAGTAGTTAGATATTTTATACATTATTAATTAATAGACTGCTTCGATGACAGGAAAATAATATTTTTCTAACTTAGTCTATTAAGTAATAAACTTTAAAGGTAATATTAATTACAAATAATAATTAATAATAATAATAATAATAATAATAATAATAATTACATTTTTATAATAGTTTATTAATACTGTATTAATGATACTTGAGAATGGCTATATTTAATATTTATCTATTACATTATATAACAAGTTATTTTTTCCACTGTTATTTCGGGTGATTTATACTTAGAAAGGCATAGCTTTTATGGTGTGTAACACACAAAGGAAGTTGAACACTTACAATTTTTCTAAGGGGCAACGTCGGTTATTTATTGATCATTGCAACATCTTAAAACTATATAAACTTGAAATTTGACATGGTAGTCTCTTCAATACTCAATACGTATAATAAGTAGGAGTTTTAAAAAACATTGGAATCGGCAATAATGGTATTGAGCGTACAACCAAAACTAGCAAACCGATTAATTTCATTTTATTTGTTTTATAACCAACAGTTACATCAAACTTGGCTTTAAATAGTGTAAGGTAATAATCCATTTAAACCTATGTCCCGACCAAAAATGTTTAGTGCGAAGCCGGATAATTAAGCTAGTACGTGCTATTCGTATGGTTAGATATAAATGATTTTTTTAAGTAAGTCACTAAGTTTCGATACTATTTAGCCAAACTTGTAAAATAAATGGTAACTCAAAAATTGTATCCATCTACTTTGAAACTTTCTTAATATAGTTTAGTAACATTTCTGTTTGTTAATGGTTCATTTATTTGAAAGTAGAATAATGGACAAATTCTCAATAATGGATACTTTTAAAATCGCTCGGCATAAGACACATTTTAATTATTGCAAAGCAAAGACATAGATAACATATTAAACATTTATAATTTATTATTAACGAAAATTGTACGGAAAATAAAAGTAAAATTACGATATAATGTATATTGAATGAAATGCAATTATATTTATTATAATTATTTGCTCAACTTAGATTGAATACACTCAAAAATTGATCTTCATATTAATTTTATTGTTAGGATGTTGTTAGTAATCTTAAAACCTATTGTCTTAGTAGGGAAGATTCTGTTATACTATATGTATAAATACACATACCCACAATTTTATGTTAGTAATAATAATTATTACTAATTAGTTATAAATTAACATAACAGTACGACGTAAACTATTTATTTAAAAACTGTAGTCTTAGTTTATATATAAAAAAATAAACAGGAATTCCAACAGAAAACCTTTATTCATTATTTTTTGATGTTTACAATGAAGAGGTTTTTCTGTATTATGGTACTATTTTACATTATCTATATTATGGTATTAAACTAATAAATGATGTACACCTAATTTTTTTTTATTTTATTCATATTTAAGTGTATCGATATTAATACGATATTTTTTAACTTTGTAACGATAAGTTTTTTTTTAATTTGAGCATATATTTTTAAGTATTTTTTTATAGTTAATCTAAACAATTTTAGACATTTGGAGTATGATATAAATTATTTATTTTTTTGAAAATAAATATTAAAATATTTTCAATGTATCAATATTGAGGTTACATTTAACATTTATAATGTTTTTTGAAATTGACTATGAATTCTGGATTGCATTAAACTTCGTTAATTAAAAAAAAAAGTTCCAATAGAATCCTCTATATAAATAATATCTTACAGCCTAAAATTAATAGTATGTGCGTACTCCAAAATGCAATCGTAGTTCAGTTGTTAAATCAAATTATGTGCAAATAAAATAGAAACATTGTCACACCAACACCATGTAATAGGTGATGAATTGTGCTGTGTATCAAAGCGTGTGATAAAATAAACGTGAATTTGATATTTTTATAGTTTGAAAAATTTAAATAATTTTGTTTAAAACATATTTAACTGTTGAAACATTGTTGATATAAATAATTTTTTTTTCATTTTGGTGAGGTTAAAAGGCGATGATAGTGTACACAGCAAAACGAGTTGAAAAGCCGACGAAAAGCATGTTTTTATTGTCTATACCTCATAATCTACAAGGGATACTATTGTATCTCTTGGGATATTCGATAAAGAGATTGAGGACCTTCTTGACGAATTTTGATTTCTACACTTATGGCAAATGTTACTGATTACTCTAACATGATGGGCCCATCTTTCTCTGTAATGAGCCATTTCTTCGTCTACTTCTTGTTGACCTTGCTAAATTACATGGCAACGACATAGTTTTTTTTTTTTTTTTAAAATGATTGTTGAATAAAACGATATCTTACCTCTTTTTTCGATTTTAATTCTTCAGAATTGAAACTGTTTAGTAACAAAGCCAAAAATAAGTTGAGCACCATGAAGTTTCCCATCACCAATGCAGGTAAAAATATAGCGAAACATATACCAAAACCCTATGAAAAGTTATTAAACGTAATTTAAATTTTACACTTTTATTTTATGCTTTTGTATAAATAATTTCTTGAAAAGCTTATAAATAATACTTATTAATTATTCAACTATCTATGATACAATTTATTCTCAAACCTATAAATATGAGTAAAATAATATACATCTTGTTAACAACAATTGAAAAACACGATAACAATTTGTGAAATTATTTTCTCGGGTAGTTTTAATTAAGCTGAATAGCATACCTCTTTCTCTTCGGCTTTCATGCAATCCCATAAGGGTTCAATCCATTCACCACACAGAATTCGAAAAATCATCATAAATGAATGAAAAAAATCTGAGAAATTCCATCTACAAAAAGTGCCAAATAAATCTATTCATTAGTTTTTAAAATTTTCCTTTTAAATAATTATTATTAATCATGTTATTAAAAATAAAAATTTAAAAACTGACAAAAAATTAATTAGGTACCGATATTTAAAATAATTATTCATATAATCCTCTAAGTTACTGAATCATTTTTTTTTTTGTATTAATCGGAAATACACCTGCCATTTGGAAATATCATTAAGCAATATTTCAGGTGGAGTTACTGAACTTAAAAAACTAAAATTGTTGTGCTTCTTTTTCTTATTTTTGAATAAATTATTTTCTACTTAATTCTAACAATTTACTGACAATCAATTCTCAAGTCCTATGTGATCAACTAATGATTCGTATTCAACCACTACTTGGGAGCTCTTAATACAGAGACATAACTTAAACAAATTTCTAGTTCTTCAATACTTTTATAAAATATGTAGCTGATATTTGTGGTAAGTAATCAATCACTAAAACCTTAAAAATGTTATCGAAACTCTGGCTAATCTGAGTCGAGTATAAAAATGACTCAAAATATTAGCCTTTAAAATATATTAAGTGAAGTATTTATTTGATGATTTTTAAAAACCATTTTAGGAATTTAATTTATAAATTCTATCAAGTTAAAAATATTTTAAAAACCCTACATTATTTGTGTATAAAAATTAAAAATTAATATGTGAGTATATTTATTAAACACGAGTATAAATTATCTAATTTATTTATTTATTTTTTTATAGCAAGTTCTATTTCCGCAGTAACATTTGAATAATATAAAATGAATATGTCTTATTACCTCGGTACAGGATCAGGATCAAATTTTTCTGGCATATATTCTTTTGAAAACAACTGCATACCAATAACCGCAAATATGTATATGATGATAATCAACACAAATGTTAGATTACCGAGAGCTCCAATTGTTGATATAATTATGCTTAGGAGTACCTTCATGGTCGTCCACGATTGAGCTAATTTTAAAACTCGAAGCTGATTGAAAATAAAAACGACATATTAATTAATCAACAATTGTTAATTAACAATTTAATGATATTTAATATAAATATAAAATAAATCGGTTGTCACTTATGTTTTAGTGAAGCTATGCCTCATTTCATCCCATTATTATATTTATAAAAGTTAATGTCCCATACCATTGGAGAATTCACAAATATGTTACAATATTATTTCCCGCTGGTTATAATGTTTAAGTTTATAAAAACAAGATCCTTATACTATTATGGTGTAACGATAATGAAAAACAAGAGGAAACGTGCTACTTTCAAAACATTAGTCGAGTATGTTTATACTTAACAAATACACATGTTTGTATAAATATAATAATCTTAACAATATAAAATGACATAATTATATTCAATTACAAGAGTAAAATCATAGCTGTGGATCTAGTTATAAGAATATAAATCATATAGAAGTCTTACGAAATTAATTTATATTAAGTAAAATAAAATAATAATTTATAATTATCATAATCAAAATAATTTTGGGAATATAACAAATGAAGCTTTTATGATCATGAAGTGATACGAAAATTGGCAAATGTTTAATGGTTTTTAACCGGCTGGTCCCTGTTTTAGGTCTGACATATTTTAGCCCAGCACTTTGCATAATATAACGGTGGGTGGCTTATGTCTTATAGCTATTCTGAAAACATGGATGCAGTTTATTACACCCTTACCTCGTTTCTTCACCACTACCCGTTAGTCCTAAAAACCCAACACCACTACGAACACAATTTACAGTCTGCCAGATACATTCTCAAAACATAACTCATAAGATCATCACTTATAAGGAGTACTATAAGTTTAATGATATATTCTTTAGTTTATCATTTTAATGTTACATAAAAAAAAAAGTTTGGAGGAATATTTAAAAATAAATATAATATATTTAAAGTAGTTTTATTATACGAATATTCCATTCGTATTATTGTTTTTAGTATAATCTTATAATACAAATAGTTTACCATTCATTTAATGACCCGAAGGAAAATATTTTAATACAACATAGTTTTTTATGAAATAAGATTAATTATTTTATTACAAAAAATACATAAATTACATACAAAAAAAAAAAAAAAAATCACAAACTAAAACTTTTTTCTATTTATGAGGACGTATTACAATAATTTTAATGAAAATTTATTATTACAAAAGCTCGTTAACATTAAAATTAAAGCATTGAAATGTAAATATTGAATTAAATACGTTAGCCTAATGTATTTTAAAAACAATAATTTACTCTTTGTCAGAAATTTTATACATAATTTAAAAATTTAAAAATAAACGGTTAAGCTATTCTGAAACATTTATTACTGTATTATTATGATATATTCGTATGTTTGTAAAGCCATTCTATGTTTATACCGATTTACGAATCTGTAGATTAATAAAAACCAAATAATACACATTTTTTTTTTTAATTGCTTAGGATAAAAACTCGCCTGTTAAATTTTTATTTACGGTCTGTTTCAACAAAAAATTGTTAAAAATGAATATTTCAAGTTTGGAAATACTCGTTTTAAGAAAACATTGAAATCCTTCTATTTATTTGATATTAATTGATTATGAACAAATACATATTGATTTTTAAATGTTTTTTACAAATACTCTGCATTAACTATATACTATAGATAACATTAAATATCTTACCAATCTCAAACAACGAAGAACTGATAAACCATCGATCATTTCAAATGATAAATCTAGTAAGCTTGCTGTTACAATAATCATGTCAAATATATTCCAGCCACAATTGAAGAACTCGTTACTTAAAGCAATCAATTTGAATAGACATTCAACTGTAAAAATAGTTGTGAAAACCTGGAAAATTAGATAACTGGATGTTAGGGTAGTAAAGCAAAAATATATTCTTAAATTATAATAATAATTTAATAATTAATAATAAATAATTTAATAATATAACAATAATTTCAGTAAACTTTTATTGTTATTTAAATAAAAACTCAAATTTATACAGGAAATTAGATGTAAAACAAGAAAAGTAAATAGAATTTACAAAAATAATTTAATTTTGTTTTATGAATAAATTCTAGCACAAAAATACTTGAGGTAATAAAATTATATTCAAATGTTACCTCTTTATATTCTACTAAATAAAAATTTACGACTGCCAAACGCAATAGCTTATAAAACCAAAGAATCAAAGGTATTCATAAATATCCATAAAAATGAATCTAGTACCAAATTTTAAATTAAAGGCAAATGAGAACATAAATATATAATATTTACGTATCAAATATTTGCCATATTTCTGATTAAAATGATTAAAATAATTATTTCTCTTATAATCTATACTATTTATATTCATGAATTCGACATACATTATTTTATTTTTTAAGCATCCATTGTTTGTTTGTAGAAATGAAATAAAATCAAAATAAAATCGTTTAATGTCCACCGTGAACATAACAGTTATTGGTTTATTTCTCTTTCTCATTTCTTATTAAAAAACAATTTCTGAATAGTATTGTGAATATCATTATTCATTCATTAAGTCATTGTCAGTACTAATAAAATGTGTAGTATTTTTCTTAAACGTCTATTATAAGAATAATGCTTAAATTCATACATTGTAAACACAGTAGACAAGAAATTCAACAAGTTATAATAGATTTTTAATTTTAATTCCATTCAAAATGATACATGATTATAATGCATGATGTATTTTAGGAATATATATATATATATATATATATTTTTTATAATTGTTTAATTTTTATAATTTGGTAAAGTAGAATTTACTTACTTTGTTTCCAACGTCCAATATATTTCGTACATATTGTGACATCCCGTGATGTTCAATAGCTAATACTATTGTATTACATATAATACATGCCATGATAAACAACTCAAACAATGGATCTCTAACCACTTTATGTAAACAGTTTTGAACTTTCAACCACGTCTGGTAGTCAATACAATTCCTATTACAATTTGAACAGTTCCGATCGACTAAATCATCTAGAATTGAAAATAGCATATATATATTGTTATGAATTAATCAACTGAATAATTAACAATAGAAATGATTAAAAAAAATGCTTGATATAGTGCAATATTCATAACCATGCAAAAGGTTGTATTAATTCTGATGCTTTTGATACTTCTCGAAATAATATTTTTTTTGTATTAGTTTCTATGAACAGTATGCATGAATTCACTGTATGAATTAACATTATCGGTTAAATAAATATTTATATTAAATAACCGAGAGATTTAAAATGAAAATAATATATAATATCAAAAAGTCATGTTTATTTATACTTAACTATTTATACTATGTGTTTAATTAAGTATGAATAGATTTAATGAAATATCTTTAGGAGTCTAAATTAATTTTGAAGTAAATAATATATTGGTTTTAACATTTTATTTATTTTTGGCTTATATTTTTAACTAACTATACTTAAATATCATGCAAATCTTGACTAAACATTTTAATTATGATCGCTTAAAATGTGTAAATGTTTTATAATTTAATAGGATATGCCTAGAATTTATTTTATAAAGTCATTATTACATCATTAAATGAAATCTATTCTAGAATTAAAAAATATTTGTTTAAGCAAATATATATATTATAGAGAATAAGTGAATTTAAACCGTTTAAGGTAAATTTATCATCAATGGCCACAAAATACACAACGCAGCTACCTATGTACTATTATTGTCGTGAGTGTATCTTTTATAGTTCAACAAAGAGGTCTCGCAGACTATTATTCTCCAAGCTATTACAGTTTTAGAGACGGTAAGGAGTTAATAACGTTATTAATGTACACATACCAATAACCACCACCTGAGACACGTATTCGGCCTCGCCGTTGCGACCAAATGGTTTTGTTTTCAGCCCATTGCATTTGATCACTTTTATGTTTTTGGATACAGCTAAACTGTTATCGTCAGTGGAATTCTAAAACAATATTTTACTTTATGTTAAAAACATATAAAGAAAATTTAATAATTACAGTATAGATTAATTCAAGTGTAGAGCAATTAGTTGATAACTTTTTTGATATATTTAAACAATTTTAAACATTATTTATATTTAAACTAGAATTATTAAAATTTAAAAGGGTATTACGTATTATATTATCTACCTAAATTATCTTACTATATCCTTCAACTAATATTATATAAAGAATATGAATGATAGCTATTATTATAATTATCTTATTTCAGCGTTATCATATATCAATTTTATTATTAGTTGTAACTTTTGAACTGATTAATAACTTTTTTAATAGAAGTTAAAAATAAATATACAATTTTCTTGTACATAAATTATAAAAATGTATGCAAATGATGAAATATTTTATTTTAAATTATTATCTAGATGATTAACTATTAATTATGGTTATATAAATTAACAAATAAAAGATGATTTGAGATTTAGTATGGTTTTACATTTTAAGTTTAATCTATGATAAACTAATTGTATAGTGGTAGGAGTCTGAACATATTGGAATGCAAGAAAATACATACATTTAACAACTAAAAACAATTTGATTCGTTTGAAAAATGACAAAATATGAATGTTCTGATTTTTATAAATTCATTTTAATTTGAACAAGGTAGCAGAAATATAATTTACTTAAGTATTTAAAATAGTGGTGTAATATTTATTTATATTTACATGCATGATTAATATCAATAGTATACTATTGTATATCGTACATTTTTTTATTTTTGTATATTATTCTATTTTTAATTTTATGTATTTAAAATAATTTTAGGAAAATAATATAATGTAAAAAATAATCAAATGTTCATATCAAAGGTATTTAAAGTATAAAATTAGAAAATATTTTGTTTTATATTTTACAATATGTCACAGTTGTATTATTCTAATATTTTGAATTTAATTTAAATAAACATGAATATAGTTCTTCTGTGAAACTTTTATGTTTAATATTTTTTGTTTTACTTTAATTTATATCCAGTAAATATAATTATAACAATTTTACACAAATGTTTATTTTTTTAAAATTATTTCTGATACTGATTACTTGTGGTAACTGATGGTATCCGCATTGCTGTGGTTGCGGTGAAGTGTGATGGGATTGTGATTGCGATGTAGCTTCTCCATCATCATGATCATCCACTACACCAGAGTCGTCCAGTGATGAATCCCTGTTGTTCCCTTCACTAGTATTTGCACTACCTTGTCTACTACCCAGTAACCACCGTTCTCTACCTGAATGAAATAATTTTGACGGTGAACAACTCAAATAAAATAATTTAAAAAATAATTCCTATATTTTGTAGATTTCAATATTCAAAACATAAATTAAGAACCAAAAATGATAGACCTTAATTTTAAACAATTAATCAATAAAGTTGTATTATTATATTATACATTATATTGGTAGCACTCTAAAATTTTATTTCAACCATAATAAAAAAATTATGTTTAATAATTATTAAATGTTTTATTTTTATAGAAATACACGTATAAATTACCATGTTATCATAATTTTACTACATTTTATTCTCGTTTTTAAAGGACAGTTTTTTTTATATACCATTGTCAAAATCATTATAGTAAGAATATAATATTATTCAAGTATCATTATAAATATTCAAAAATACGTATATTTTGTTTACATTTTTTATCTTAAAGGTTAATTAAATTAAACTTTATATCAGATAAGTGAAAATTATTTCCTTTGAGAATAGTATTTGAAATGCTTACAACGTTTAATTTGCATTATCTCTAAAATGAAGTAGAGAAAACTGAAGTTACTCGGAATTTAATTTTTAATTTATTAACCTTAAAGTACTTTCATGAGTTTAAAATTCTAACTAAAACAGAAAATTTTATTGTTTTTCCATTTAAATAAAAAAAATTCATTATTTTGTTTATTCGTTTATTTGTAACAAAGATATAATAATTTTTTTCATTAAAATTATATTTCTAATACGTCTATATAATTTATTAGACAATTTATAATTTATACCTAATCATTGAAATACACAATAATAAAACATATTATATGAATCTTATTTTAGTTGATAAATAACAAAAAACAAAAAAAAAATAAAAAATAAAAAATAAAAATAAATAATCCTTTGAAAATGTAAGATATTATTTAGACGTACTATTGACGTATATAAAAAAAAAAAAAGAGACAGATTATAAATATCTACTACACCTAAGTGTAAACTCTACTTATTTCAATAAACTTAGTAAAAGTTAGTCTTGTATAAGTAATATAAATTTTAAAATTACGATAAATCTTAAAAATTTGAAAGTTCTAAGTTTAAACTCACAAATAATGCTTCTCATTCATATATAATTTTTAAAATAATCAAACTTTAAGTATATTAGAAAAATTTCAAATACCAGGAATAAAAAAAAAGAGGTTAGAAATTATACGTTTTTGTACATATTTGAAATAAATAAATATTAGAAAGTGTATTGTAGATAAATAAAAAAAAAAAAAAAATTAGTTTTAAAAACTTACAATTTCGAACATATACTATTATTATTCTGGGTAATAAGCCATTAGAAAAATATTATATTAAAAAAATTGCTTATCATTTGGAAGTTGTATACAATAAAAATTTTACAAAGATCATAATTAAAATTTTATTATAATTAAGAAAGCTTTTAAGATATTCAAAAAAATATTTATTAAGTTAAATACACTGTTATAATTTAGTATATTATTTTTGTTATTTTATATATAATTAATTTGTAAATATTACAGAAACTAAATATCAGTAATGTGATATTACCAGTTGATACCACTGAAGACAAATGAAATAAAATAAAATATGCTATATTGGAAAGAAACTCATCAGAGCCTAGAAAACTATGAATAAATGATAATGTTATAAGGGACATTTTCTATATTTTAGAGGGAATAGAAAATAATTACATATAGAAGGATAATATAAATGTATACAAAGACTAATCAGCTACAATAAAAAAACAGATGAAACAAACTGACAAAACAGAGACAGTGATAATTAGGAAGAGTGTAAAACAAAGATGTTCACCCTCACAAATTTTATTTAAATTAAACAGCATATTCAAGAAATTATAAATATACTTCTCAAAAATGAAATAGGCATAAAAGTGGATAGAGAAATAATATTCTTCTTAAAATACGATATTGCTCTTTGTGAATAATGAGCATATTTGGAAAAAAAAATTGGAAGATATATTGAGATGCTTCCAAGACACTATCATTTGATTATCAATTGACAAAAAAACTAAGGTGATGAAGTGCAAAAAATTAGAATAAATTCGTAGATTTAATATCCAAACAGAGAACTGGCTGTTTGAACATGTAGAAAATGTTAAATACGTAGACAGCTCATTTAATCAAGACGGCAGATGCATCATAGAAATAAGATCTAGAATTACTTAATTTATGCTTCAATAGCATGAGTAGGGAAACGCTTCATAAAAGTATACGTGGTGATATATTGGCGATATACCATACAGTTGTGAAGCCTGCATATTAAATAAGGCAGATAAATGAGTCCTTGAACAATTTTAAATATTATGTTAGAAAAGAATGCTATACGTGAGTTGGATAGAAGACCATATCAACGAAATAATATGGAGTGAAATAAATGAACATAGAAAGTTACTCAAAACTATTAAAAAAAATGGAATTAGGTTATACAAAAATAGAAAAGAAAATTAAAGAGGTTAAAATTGAGAGATCGAGGACATTCAACTGATTCAGTTATCGGAGGTAATTCAGAAATTGCCTCCGATGCTAAACTATCAAGTTACAAAGAACTGAAGAGGTTAGCTGGAAACTAGCAAAAGTGAAGAGCACATATTCGAATGCAAAACTATCCATAAGGTTGAATATGTGAAGAAGTAGACAGATAATAATATAATATGGAGATTTAATATTTGTTTCACATACAAATTTATTTACTATATAAATATATTATTTAATCTGATTAAATGTAGAAAATGAACTCAAAATATTTTGTTAGTTGTAATTGTTGTATTACTTTAAAAGAGATATAAAAATATTTTCAAAGAAATTCAATGAAACTTTGATATCAGAAGAATAAAGGAGTTGTTTCATCAATATCTCTTTTATTTAGTAAAATAACTAATTTTTATAAACTAATGATGATTTCAATTAAAAACGATCTATATGGTAAAGGTTATTAATTTTGGGTAAGAAAATGTATTATTACGGTTCATATACAGAAAATAAAAAAAACTTGATACCTGCAATTTTTAATAGTTAACTATTTAAATGGCATTAACAGATTATGTTAAAATTTTGAGTTAATTATATTATTTAAAAATTTTCATATTTTTTTTATAGAGTTTATTCATATTTTCTACTTAAATTTTAATACAATTTAGCATAAAGTAACTTATATAACACTATTACTACTCGCGTAATTAAAAAACCGTTAGTAAAATGTTTTTAAAATACTTTTAAAATCGTTTATTTAGTTAGAATAACAGTTTAATTATAAATAAAACACATTGCAGACATTTGGAATATTGCATTACATTTATTGAATTCTGCATTTCAATTTGATTATTTTATAATTAGGAAGAGCTATTAATTACCACTAAAGGAGCTTTGAGCTATATAGCACTTTAAGTACCATTTATTTACATGATTTAGTCAATCATATTCTGATCACTTTACAATGGAACAAACTATAAAAATGTTTTGAACATTTTTCTTAATTTATTTTTAAACGAAATACGTTTTTAATTAAGAAATATCCTTATTGATTCATATACTTCAAGCTAAAATAAAATAATCAAATATAATTAACAGTTTCTCATTATATACTTTTTAATATATTCTGTAAACAAAAATACCATGAAGTGGTGTATTTACGTAAACGGTGAACTCACCATTCAAAAACTTTTTTTAAAAAAAAAAAAAAACTAAATATATTATTAACAATTTTATGATGTCTTATAAAATAGTATTTTTTTTATTATGTATACTTGAAAATACATACGTTTTTAAGTATAATCTTCTATTTAAAATACAACTGTATAAAAACTACTATGTAATATTTTTTTTTTATACTTGATTTTAATTACTTAATTTCTAACTAAGACTTTAATAAATCTTTAAAAGAAAAATATAACCTTTAATAAGTTTTAAGTAAAATGTATCATTGTATTACTGGAAACTATTATTTACTCTTATGAAAAAAGTGTAGTCTAAAAAGTGGTGGGTCAAGTTTCACACACTATATTTTATAAAAATGTATATTAATTATTGTTGAAAAACCATTTAATGAACAAATATCAAAGTAAGTTTAAATTCTTAATTAAAAATATAAAACATTATTTATGTACTTAAAAATACAACCTAAACTGTAACTTCGTTACAAATTATAAGAACCAAGAAACTTGTTATAAGTCAAAGTTATTTTTCTGACACTGTTGCACTTAATTAAGCTATCGATTTCTACACTTTTAACCAAAATTTAACTGAAAAATATTTTCACTTTTATATGTTAATATATACTACCAATTAATCTTCTAAGTATAGGAAATGAAGGATATACGTTTCAATGTATGCTTATAGGTATTATACAAATGTATAGTAAATTACTAGATGGGAATAAAAATGAAAAAATGTAGTAGTTCATATTTTCGGACTTTTCGTAATAACCGTGGTTGCAAATTGTTTTAAATAAAAGTTTTTTATATGTCTAAAGCTAAAAAAATAATTACATTTATAAAAAACTGTTTGAAACAGAATAAACAAATTGTTTTTTTATATTTTTAAAAATACTATATTAAACTCCGAGTGAAACTAAAATTCTATTTGTTTTACATTAAAGTTTTTTGTATCATAATTATGTATGAGTAAACATCCATTTTTTTTTTTTTTTGTAAATATTTGGTTAAACAATAAGTATAGACTTTTTAATCGATTGTAATAATTAATTATCCATAACTTATACTAATATTAATTATCACTGAGTGTAAATAATTAAATACGTTTTTATACATATATGTATAAGACTATTCTATGCTACGTGTAAAAAATTCTAGATAATTTGTTTAAATATGGATACACTATGTGTTTATTAGACGTAAGACAGTGAATAAACTGTTGTGCAAAAAATTGCTTATCAAATGCCATGATGAGTCATTGCGTTCAATTTCAAAAACATCGTCATTTCGATAATCTATCAAACCATAAATTATGTATTTTATAGTAACTCACTCGTATGTAAGCACCAGTTTTACATGACACTTTTCAGATTTCTCTCGTTGTTTTTATTTTTTTTTCTAGAACTTAAATTAACATAAAATACAAAGCACTAACCTTGAGGAGCGACAAGAGCACATGGCCGTAGAGTGTCAGTGGCAGCAATTGCGGATTTGGTGACTACTGAAGTCGTATCAATGGTCTCGGGAGGTGGTTCCGGTTGAGGTGGTGGGGTGGTCGGATGCGGAGAAGGCGCCTTGGGGAGGTCAGGTGACGATAGTGGTGGTTTCCGGCGTGGTGTTGAAAAACGACTTCCTCCCGAGTCCTCGCAATCGTTTGCAGAATTATTGACACCACCACCTCCACCAATACTACCATCACCACCGCCACAATCATCACCACCACCACTAACATCACCATCACCGACCAATACCATCGACGCGTCCACCGTCGTCTCTTCAGTTTCCGCATTGGTCTCCACGACCGCGGCTCCTTCGTCCGTCATGTCATCGTTTGGTGTGTATTGCTGCTGTTTCTGCAGATGATCCGGTTGGAGTCGTTGTTGTGACATCGTTCGCCGCCTACGGGATTTTTTCCGTTTGCGCGTTACCGACGACAGCAGTACGCCCTTACGGCTATCTACTTTTTTTTTGCTTTTGTCTTTGCCCAATTGCTTGACAGGGATACGGCTTGGGTCAAAACTGAATGTAGATTCGTCTCGGTAATCCGTCAAGTCTTTTCGCCTCTCCTAAGAAGATTGAAAGGAAATTATACAAAAATTAAAAATAAAAAAAAAATTAAAAAATAGTTGTATCCTCCGATGCGAACACGTCTCGCATTTTTAATATCGGTGTTGGCGACATCGTGATTCATTCGAGGTACACATACAACATAATATTATTGATTTTATTTACTCGTTATACAAACTATTGTTTATTCCGAATAAAATGCAGGTCAGGGAGGAATGGGTAGGGTTGCTTATTAAATTGTGTACAAAATCATGCTGTGTGCCTTTAGAATACCGATAAGTTGTTATATTGAAAATTCAAAACGTCGACTGTTTGCTTGTTTGTTTTCATTTATTCTACATAATTTTAATTCTGAAACTTAATATTAAAAATCAAATATTCCTTAAGATTAAATAAGTCATTGTTTTAAATAGAATGTTGAGGTATGGGTGTAATTGTATTTGATTTTACACTGATGGTTTGTGAATTTCAAAATAATATAAAATCACTACTTACTATTTTTTAAATTAATTTCATATAAAAAAAATGTATAGCATGTATACAAAAATATAGTAAATCGATGACATATATTAATTTAATTTTGAAATTTTTAAAAATTACAGTCAGAACTTTTTTTTAAGTTACATGAAAATTAAAAGCGGATGTTCAAATATTCTGTATTATGAACTACTTTATATTTTAGAATAAGAAAAATTGAATGATAAAATGAAATTTTAAATTAGTTACTAACTATATACAAGCTTAGTGATTGTTTAATAATATATTATAAATTTGCTTTTAGAAGCCTTATGATTTTAATTAAATTATAAAGAGTTTAAACTATAATTTTTATATTGATAACGATTTTAACTCGTTAAAAAAATAGAATTTACAGTTTAATAGTTTAAATTTATTTATAAATTGAACAGTTATATATGTATTATAGTTTTAAAAGATATATTTCCCCATTAAGAGGATTATTTTCATGTACTGTAAAATTAATTATTCGTTTAGGTCATAAATTGTGTGTATATTTCTATGATATGCTACCTATCAAGTTTATTCTAGAGTGATTTATGTACTAAACAAAATTCTGTGACGTGACAGGTTAACGTCGTTGACGTTAACAGATTTTAACTGGACGAAATACATCGAAAAAAGGTTTGTTAAAAATTAATATAATGAAATGGTTACTATACCAAACAGACAAGCTTATAAATTATAGACTAAAAATCAATTACATTGAATAAATATTTAAGTAATCTATATTAAATTAGCCATCATTTATATAAATTAAAAAAATAAATAAATAAAAATGGAAAAATCATACATAGTAACCTTGAAATGATTTATAATACATCTATATTAAATTTCTAATCTATAAAAAAAGGTATATTAATATTTAAAAGGGAATACATACATATATAAATGTTATTTATATTTTACTAAAGAAAAAATAACAGTAAAATAAATAGAAAAATTATCATCATTCGAATCTTAAAAGATTTATTTATACTTCAGTTTAAATTGAATTAAAATGTACTTATATTACATTTCTAATAATATATTTGGTAGATATTCCATAATTATTTTTCAAGAACCACAACTTAAGATTTAAAATAAGTGTAACGTTTTAAATTTTTTCATTAAATATAATTTTTTTATTTTTCTTGTAGTGTTACTACCAATTTGTGAATTTTCATACCAATGATGTGAAATGATTATGTTGTTCGGAATAAGATTCAATATTTAAATGAAAACTAAATCTTGGAATAAGGTAAAATATCATTGCACATGAGATGTGTAAAAGGAGAAGATATAAAGCATTAAGTAGAGAAGAATATAAAAATAATATTATTGGTTCGATAAGTTTGTAACACGGCGCTGCATGTAGGCATTACTGCTACGTTGACGCACCGTCTAATATTTTTTGCCTATACTCTGCTGCATGACAATGAGTATTATAAACGGTCGCACGCACGCGTATAATAAATAAAGAACGGAAAAGCATATGTATTTTTGTACGCTACGTTCTTCAATTCGAACCGACATGTGTGCAGGGGCTGCTTGCTTATTTTTGATACATTTCCAACTTACTGTTCGCAAAATCTCAACAATATACATATTTATCAAGGTAATCAGAGAAATAGATTACATTTTGTTATCCAAAACGTTTATTTCAATAACCGAAAAATAAATAAAAATTGTGTTTGCACAATTACCTCTTGTGTGATTTCCGCTTCTTCCTCGTAGCTCAGAGCAACCACGGCCAACATTAAATTGATCAGGTAAAACGAACCGAAAAATACCACCACTGTAAAGAATATTACGCTCATTGGGCCACATGTCGCCAATACCTGCAACAAAAACCGGTATAAGCTTGAATCAATGTACTTGTCAATATAGCGACAAAGAAAATATAAATATTAATATTTTCAATAATTTAACATCTTACGACCATATTTCAAAACAAAATATAGTTTTAGTAATTTTTTAAAAAAAATATTATTTATAGTTATCAAACTATATAAATATGAATATATGTTTATATTTAATAAGATAAAATAATAATTGTAATAATACTAATGAAGTAAAGATTCTTGTTTAACAAAATTTCTACTATTTCGAAATTAAGAAAATGTTCATAAAATTAATTTTTAACTATACCAGAAAAAATTAAAAATAATCATTTATTGACATGAAATTAAAATTGCAATAAAATGTAATTTATGATTTATTTCAGTTATAATTTAAAATTATAAGTATTGTAAATTATTTTTAGTTTGATACATAAGTGTTAAGATATTAACCTATTATGGTTAAAATATTTATTTGAGAAATATTATTTATGAACAATAAAACGTCATACCTTATATAGGTAACAAGTTTAATTTTCAAATTCTATAAAAGGGTACTCTAATACAAGTTAATTTGTTGAAATCTATATGTAAATGGTTCTAAAATGTATCTCAGCAGTTTTTATTAAGTAATACAACATATAATAGATAGAATCACCATCATGTATTCTCCAAGATCTACTCGTGATATTTCTATTGTAAATAAAAGTTTGTGAAAAAAGTATGGATTATACATAAATAAATAAACAAATATATTATATATAGAAATACATGAGTAAATAAATAAATGATTAACCTGGAGTATTTATTTATTTACTTAATTATGTCTATATATAAACTATTTCTTTATTTATTTATGTATTGATTTACGTGTTTTAAACATTTACTAATTTTTATTTTTATTTTATTTTTTATTATTTTATTATAAATAAACCTATTATACATACAAACATACATAAATATATTTTTTAAGTAAGCAGTCACACAGTTTAAGCCTTTGAACTGTATTTGAATCACTACTATGTAGTTTTATAAATTTTAAAACCTTTTCTTTGGATTTTTGAATAATTTATTAATTTAAATATTTTTCAATAATTTTAATTCATTAGTTTATAAATGTTATATGCAAAAATGTATATTCTAATATTTCTATAGTCATTTATTTTTTTATATCTAAATTGATTTTTAATATAATTTTCTGAGAATATCAATTCAAAAATATTAAAAATATCATCGAACTAAAAGTTCATTATTTATTATAACTTATAGTTTAAAATAAAGTAAATAAAGGATCTTTTCAAAATTTGTTAAAATTAAAAATATTATTTCATTTACTTACTCTCACACATGCGTAATAATTTTTGTTTGTGATAATATTATATAATAATATAATTAAAAAAAAATATATATTTTAATACAAGTGCAATTTATTTATCACATAAGTAATAAAATATTATTTTCACTTTAGTTGTACAAAAAAAGTTTTGAACCATTTCCTATTACATAAACTTAATGATTATGAATTAATTATAAATATATGAATTTTATATAAGTTTGTATCATATAATTTTTTTAGTTTAAAAAATATTGGTAGTAATTTATTGTTAAAATGTTTTTTATGTTTTTTTTTAAATTCATAGTTGAATAAAATTGTACTACTAATTTTTGATTCAGAGTGATGTAGAATTTATTGAGTTTATAAGACTTTATTTCATTTTTATTTTCTGGGAACACTTTTATTACTTTCTCTCTCTCTCATTTACTCTCTCTCAATAAAAATGTATCAAAAGTATCCTGAAGCAATTTTTTATATTTGAAATTGAACAAAGTTGATATTTAAAAAAAGTAATTTTTAAATTTTTTTTTTTTATGTTTTTTTGTATATCCATAACATATGAAAAGAATAAAACAAAATTGAAAACTGATGAAATCTCCTTAAAAGAAAGCGAATTTTTAAATTTAATTTTAATAAAACCATACATGAATCCTTAATTTCACATACCATAATTAACTCTATTAAATATCAAAAATTTCAATAAATTTAATATTTTATGTTCAAAAAGCAATTATGTTTGTATACATTACCCAATACAATTTAGCTAAAAATCATTTTTCCAATGAACTGGATTAGTATTATTTTCAATTTTGATAGTATCATGAATATTATTTAAATGATATTGAGTATTCATCGATAGTATATAAAATTATATTTTAAATCAGCCAAATTTATAATTATTTTATTATTTATATTAAATATTTTATATTTAATATTAAAATTTAAGAATAAAAACTTGGTATTGTTTCTATTCCATTTGATTGCAATAATAGAGTAGTTAAATTTAATATATTTACTTACAATATTGTACACGTTTTCCCAATAGTCTAGTGTAATTAGCTGGAACGTAGTCAACATCGACCACAGGAAATTATCGAAATTCGTAAATCCATGATTGGGGTTAGGGCCAACGCCGATGCACACGTAACCAACTGGGCAATGTCTGCAAATAAAGGTAAAGGAATTGCCAATAAACTTTATATCAAATAAACCAACTCAGTAATCTAATTCCCCATAAAATACACTATCCATGAAATTAAATTTTATAAAAACAAAGAGTCGTTTAATAATAATATTTTATAATCATCAGATATTAAATTAATTTATGAATATATACGTTTCAATTGTAAAAGCTATTTATTAATTTAATGTTCAATACAATTTAAATAATTAATTTAGCAACTATATTATACTTACGCAAACTATTATTCTTAACTATTTCAATTATTTAAATTTATTTAGGAATGAATAACTATTCTGAGGTGAAAGTAATGTATGTAATATTGTTAAAAATAGATCTATCTGTTTATAAATTAATATGTAAATACCAAACGATTAATTAATTTCATGAGATAGCAATAATAATTATAGAGCAAAAAAAGTATGTATTAATCACGTTATACCGGCTGATTTGAAGTATAAATCAATTAGTTCAAAAATGGGATATCACATGTTTTAATAAAATGGGATTATTACATTTTTTACGACTGTGCTTTGACTTACCAATTTAAGTATTAAGTAGTGGTATTTAGTATATTCAATTTAAAATAGCCTTGATTATTATTCGGAATTTTAAGAATATTAAATGTTGATACATTTTGCAATAAATGATTTGTTAAATAAATTGATTCTTTGGTAATGATATATTTTTATATTTCAAATATTGTAATTGTATTATTTTTTTTTTTTTTATTTATGATTTTAAATATGATATATTTTCTAAGATTATTATTTTTTGTTTTTATATTACTGTAATTTTGAGATTTGTATTTTGACTGTTATTATTCTTTCTAATAATAGTTCATTATTCATGTTGAGAATTTATACTACTTTGAAAGCGGAATTTCGCCTGGTATACGTAAAAAAATCATGTTCCCAAAGAAACCTATTTCCACGCTCTAACCGTTCGACTTGAACGATTAGTTTTATAATGGCACATTAAAAACCCCAGAAGTAAAATTGCGTATACGAATCTTAGAAATATTTAATTTGCTTTTCTTACCTCGCTCCGGTAACGTTGCCGCACAGTATTGGGTTACCTTCGTCGTCCGACAGCCAGTTTTGCTCTTTATTTATCCATCTGAAATACAAATAGTGTGAAGAAATGTAGAATAAAAAATATGCACAGGTATAACAGAAAATTGAGACCCCAGAGATTAAAAGCTATAAATCGCCAACAGTACATTTCGCTGTTCATAAGTAGGAGGGTGCAAGATATATGTGGTTGTATGTACATATTTTTGTATATATAGTAGTATTATATTAGATATACTATCTACGAAAACGATACACAAACAAAACAGATCGAGTTTATTAAAAGGGTTAGCCTGAAGGGAAAAATAATGCGTAAATAGTACAAGAACAAATATAGATATAGTTTGGCTATTGTATCCTATATTCACTATTAGGCTTACTCGAAAATACAGAGTTGTCTGAAATAATATATTATACATCATGATACATTATGAAATCTACGCAATTCTTACATTTATGTTTAATAAAACTAAAACCGTTAAAGATTGCACTATTAGTAATATAACGGTTCGTATTTAAAATAAAATTGATTATAATACCATCACTTAGTATAGCAGTTAAATTATGCATTTGTGTAAAGTTTATAATTTAGATTTAAAATTTACTATGTAAATTTTACTTTATTATTCTATTTCAGTTACGCCTACAACTGAAGAATAAAAAAATAAAGTGTATTTACTTTCTTGCTCGGAAAGACATTTATTTAATAAAATAATAAAATAGGTAGACAAAATATTTCCATACAATTCGTTCTTGAACTTTTTATTTAACACGTACACAATAATGTTTTATAATCAATTTGAGCTTTTATACCTAAAGGCCGTTTTCACTTTATGTGAGTTATATGGTTACAAAAGTAATAAAGTGTTTTTTTTCCTTAAGTTTCAAATTCTTTTTGGGAATCTTTCGTGTAATATACCATCTGGAAACAACTTATCTTCAATGGTTGCATTTTTTTTATGCAATGTACTTATAATGGTTTATAAATATGCAACATAGTATACTAGCAGTTTATTTAAGTTTATTTCAGTTTAGTGACTGCATGTTAGTCTCACAATTACCTGATCATGAACTATTGAAAATGTTCAGTAAAACACTGCACGCCCTTATAAAAATTAGATACATCCTTTCAATTCTACTATATGCAGACATCATAATTAAAAATACAACTCAATTACTTGTTAATTTGGAATTAATCGAAGAACTGAGTAAACTGATTCCAAATAATAATGATTTTTACAATTGAAATTTTACAGTTCCTAACTTATAATTTAATGAACTAAAAGTAAATCATATAACAATCGTATAAATAATTTTTCGGAAATTAGTAGAAATGTTAAAATATATTCTTGCTTTAAATGAAACATGTATTACTATTTAGTCTTTCATAGTTATTTAAACTTTTTTTTTTCAAATAACTATTAATAAAATTAACTTAACAACTTGAAAAAATAAAAGTTACATCAAACAAAGGCTATTATATTTTTGTGGTTTTCAGATTTCCTATGTACCTACCTCAAAAGATATATTTCAAGAAAAATTGTGATTTTAGTCTTTTAATTGCAAAAAGAATCAGTTAATCCCATCATTTTTCACTCAGTTTATTGAAATGTTTAAATTTCATTCAATTGTCAAACGATTTTGAAATGCATAAACCTATTTTCAATTAATAAGCAACATGTATAAATATAAAATATGTTTTCTATTGTATGATATAATTACAATTTGATTTGTTAAAAACATTGATAAAATTATTATCTATTTATATCTAACCACCTTATTTTTAAATTGATATATATATCGACAATATTATATTTACAATAATATTTTTATTAACTTTTTTTTACAATTTTTCAAATTTCACATTTCATTATACTTTTGTAGTAAGTTTATTTTTAATATTAAAAAGTTTTTTATAAATTGTAATGTAACTCATAAAAATAACAATCTATGAGGTACAAATGAACATTAATATGAGTATTATTCGTTCTTAACTAATAAATATAACCTATAATTTTATAAAGAGATTCATTTAATAAATGGTTATAAAAGATTTATTTTTTATAAACTAATGTATACTATATTAATGGTTACAATGAATTACATAAGAAATTAACTAGACTAAAATTTTGTATTAATTTTCTTTTAAATTTGTATGAAATAATGTTTTGAAAAATAATGTTTTTAGAGATTTATATTAAACGCTCAGAATTTGTATTAGAACTATCAACATTTGTTAATTTTACATAGTTAAATATTTTAGCAATTAATTTAATGATTTGTTTAAAAGTAAATAGAAACAATAAAACAATTCAATCACAATAATTGTTTTACGTAAGAGATTGATAAAAATAAATTCAAAATCTAGAATTTATGCTAAAATAAATAATGGGTAATACTTTTTCAAACTTTTTTAATTTTTTTTTTTTTTTGTATACAATTATAAATATAAAAAGACCTAGTACTTTTATTTTGTTTTGTATGCTGAAAAGTACTGTGATGACAACGCAAAATTAAAGAACAAAAACAAAACGAAAAAAAAACGTAATGGACCTCACAGAAAAAAAAAATTGCCATTGTCTGTTTCCTGAGTATTATGCCTTATACTCATTCGGATGTTATTTATTTCTATTCTATTGTTACAGACATATTTACAAAAACACTATATTTCATTGAATCCTGTTTCTTTGAAATGTTCAATTGCTTTGGATTTATAGCCTTTTGGCAAGTACCATGTTTAGTTGTGATATTCACAATGTTAGATTCAAAAATATCAAATAAAAACATAATGTATTAAAAATATAATATAAACCTCAATAACTAAAAATCTATTATACTAAGCTATAAATATAAAAATAATAATTTTTCGCCTCCAACAATGAAAATATACATATATTAAGTACAAAAATCAAAGTTATATTAGAAAACATTAAATTGAGGGTATCTTTAATGGCTAAACATTTTATAAATAAAACTTATTTAAAAATAGAAATTTAATTTTTATCATTTTAACAATAGTAGCAATTAAGAAGAATTTGTTATTTTATATTTATTAATACAGTAACAACGATTTAGTGTAAAAAAATGTGCAATTGATGTAATCGAAAAACTCATATAAAAAGGTGGCTTTATTTAACATTAATCTAATAAATATAATTTTTAAAGGTAATAAAAATTGTAAATATTGTTTGACTCGTAAAATTTCAATAATAATTATAAAACAAACAACGGCAATAAAAAAAGTATAATATTTGGTTTTAAAATTCTATATACTTGATTTTAAAATAATAAAATGTAAATAGCTTTAAGTTATTTATACATACATATATATAGAGTTATAAAGATATAAATAATATAATAATTATTAATCAGTGGAGCTTACATTAGCCAATTTATGTTGCCTTCATTGATCATGACGCATTTGTTCCGTAATTCACCCATATATACTTGAAGTGCAAACAGAGCGAATACCATAAGACAGAATATAGTTAATGTCATGACTTCAGCTAATTGTCGGAATGAGTGCAACAAAGCATTGATGATCGTCTTGAGACCTGTAGAATAATAAAAAGTATAAATGACTAATCATAAAACAATAATTTAGTAGTAAAATCTAATTCGCGTGTACAAAGATATGTGTATCGATTTAACAAAAACAACATTTAATATTACATTTTACTATACTCTACATAATATCAATTTATTTTTAGTAGATATGAACAAAACAGCCATTTAAAATGCACGTGCGTTAACAATATTGTCTATAGTTTTTATATCTTTACTCAGATGGTAATAGAATAAAAATCAAAAAAATCCCTAGTTATGGAATTTATAATTTTATATTGGTCAATTTTGATCTACATTAATCTCTTAATTAAATCGATAACTTTAATGTCAATACAATCCTACACCAATCAGAACCAAAACCAAATCTAACGAAACATTGACAGAAACCAAAAATTTTAAAATCCAAAAAAATTAGCTGTTCAGTTGATTATTTGTTACGTCATCGGAGAAATTTATAAAGCCATTAAAATACTATCATTTCTGACAAATATTACCTTTTTGTTTTGATTATTGAATACTAAATTGAGTTCATATTTTACAAGTAAACCAATCACGTTATCTTTATATAGTTTTATTTAATAGTAATTAACAACAATATACCATTTGTAGACGACATATCAAATCCTTCTAAATGGTAATTGAATTAAACATTTAATAGAGAGTAGAAAAATCATGAAAATCATTCAGACAGTTTTATGAAAAATCAGTGCATTCAATTGCAATGAAGTATCCCCTCCAAAAGTCAATAGCAGTACGATTCATAATCTAATATATTTCATAGGTCTCAGAAAATCTCATATTGCCATTAGTTCTCGAATAAAACCTAACAATATTATTGTTGTTTTGACTAAAAATTATTTCTTAATATTAGTATAAATAAACATTAGTTTAATAATACCAATAATAAATTATCCATCCGCACTTGAAGAGTGCAAAATATATAATATTAATTTTATCTTATCTATTAAGCGATAGATTTTTCAGAGAATGAAAATAATTTAAATTATTTATTATGTAATATAATTCAAAAAATAATTATTTTTAATTATTTAAATTAATTGAATTTTGAGTTATTTAAACATATGAAAATTTTTATATTATTTTTTCACTGTCATTTATTATAAGTTATAATTTATAACAATATAATAATGGAAAATGTAATAGTATACAAAATTAAAATAACAGAAAATACATTAGAAAGGTATCACAATTAATTTCATGTTGAATTTAAAATTTCAACTGTAACTGAATTTTACAATTTTCGTATATTAGTAAAATTGATTACATAGTTATATTAATATTATATACTTTTATTAATAAATATATATTTGGATACTATAATAGTATCTCGAAAAATGGTGTGGACTTAAGGGAACTAAAAATGTATGAAATGGATTATCTATAGTTGTTATTTCAATTACTGTGTTAAGTATAGTATTCGAATGGAGTTAAATTCAACTAAGCTTCATGGTTTGACAATAATAGCCTAGCTATAAGCTATATACTATATTATATTAGATATATTTAATTTTAAGTACTTTAATTATATTCATGGTCACAAAAAAAATTTGTAACTTAAGAATATGTAATAAAATAATTAATATTTATTTATTTATTTTTTTATTTTTATTTTTTTTTTTTTTGGTTTATTGGGCTTTTAAGACCATCCCGTCTCACAACCAAGCTTCCATCTTACTCTATTCAATGCCAGATCTCTCCAATTGGAAGCACCACCTAAATGTTTAACGTCTTTCTTTATATTGTCTTCCCATCGCATTCTTGGACTTCCCAGAGGTCTTTTACCTACAAGATTTTGTTCAATTACTGCATGTAATAGTGGATTTTAATATATTAAATAATTAATATATTGATTATATAATGTCGAATTTGTTGGAATTTAGCATTTTTAAAAGACTGGTTTAAAATCGATTTAATGTACAACAAAAATACTGTTGTGGTATGGAATGATATGTAATGGTTAGCCACAATTGTCTTTTAGCCTTGAGGTTAAATTGCTTCCAGATTACCAGTTCCCGGTTGAGTGACCTAGGTTGGATGTAAGAAAAATAAAATACTATTTCTAAAATAATAAAAAAGTGTACCTTTTAAGACATATAGGTAATAACAATAAAATATAATTTTAAATATATTTATATTGATTTATTTAATGCTTATATACGGTAGTAGACCTAATGCCGTTTAACCAATTATACATGAAGTGATCCACGTCAAAATGTAAAATAATTGTAGACTCTGAATAAAATTTATTTTTGTATTAATAATATACTCTTAAACTTAGATTTTTATAATTATTCTAAGAAAATATACTAATGTGCAGTTGGTTAATAGTTGGAAATAAAGTATTATATTTGATTTTTATTTAGTGCTGACGTAAGTCCTACTACCAAACTTAACCGGCAATATTTATGATTAAGACTCGTCATTGTGGTGGTCCGTAAAACCCACCGATAACAAACATCCATCTCACTACTATAAAATGCTTGACACGATAGATAATAATGACGAACGAGGTAACGTCCTTTTCATGATCATGTTTTAGTTGAGTCCACCTGTCATTATTTATCTCAAGAAATAATGTCTATGTGTTTAAAAAGAGAGCCATATAAAGGATATGTAGTGTTTAATCATTATAAATTTAATTTCACTTAAAAAAAATATAACGCAAGCTCAAATGAAATTCATATGCGAAACGTACGTGTTCCATTACAATATTATGCACCGGCTAATTGCAGAGTGGTGAACGAAGATAACATTTAAAATATTCTGATATATATATACATATCGCCATAATCATAATCCGTGATATAATTATACAGATACAAATCGTGAAATATTGAGCGATTAATGTTATTTACCGCTAATATAGAGTATATAATAAAATAATTTAATAAGACGTATAGATATACTCATTTTAATGGAAACTTTGTTACTTTATTGGACACTTTTTCTTCAATAACCTAGATATTTCGACGTTTTAAAAATTATGGTAAAAAAAAAAAAAAAAAAAATGGTAAGTACTTGTTTTTGAGTTATTCAATTTTGAAAATTAGAAATTTTCAACGATATTCTATAGAAACGCTTAAAAAATAATATTCCTATTCAATTAAATTTATCTCATAGTGTAATGGTTAATAACAGTGGCGTATAAAGCGAGGTGCCCCCTAGGCTTGGGCCCATAGTGAAATTTCAGATTCAATTAAAACATTTTTATGCATATTGCTAAATTATATAATTATACATGTATATATATATACCATGACTTGTACCGACTTTTATTGTTGTTGTTCTATGCTAGTATGTTGTTTTTGAGGTATAAAATTCACGTTACTGACTGATATCATGGTCCATGATTGCAATGACCAATTAAAATACGAATAAATTATGAAAGGACACGACAGAAAAACTGTGTATTTACATCACGGACTAGATATCTTAGAAACCCTAGTCCATGATTTACATAGTACCTTGATAGCGCATTCTATTTTTAGAAATGGATTTCTGTTTCCTATTGTATTTACTTTGTTGTAAAATGTTATCAATTTATCACGGGTTGCTAGGACATATTCCTTAAAAAATTTCTAGTTGTAGTTATGGGGAGGGGGGTAAAGTTACCCATAGTGAAAATAATTCTTATATACGCCACTGGTTAATAACAATTAATCCGAAGTAGAAGGTACTTGTTTCTAATCTTTAATGGTAAGTAAAATTTTTTTCCATATATTTTCCGGAAAATGGAACTTCAATTTTAAAAATGTTAGGACTTTGCTCATTACGCCTGCCGTCACCACTCATAAACTCGAGTACCACCGTGAGGCACTTTTCGTGAGGATAGGGCTATGCCTAATTTAGTTTTTTACAAACTTTGATAGTGTTGCGGATGAGATTATACTTTGTATGTGAACCTAAAACCTCGCTTCGATAGTAAATCACATATCTAGACCACAAAATATAAGATATTATACCATAACTAAACGATTATTCACAAAGTTATAATTTTATAACACGTAATAACGTAGATAGGGTAGATAAGTAAGTATGGTAATCTGGGTTAAACCATAAATTGAATATGGAAAACAGATAAGAATTACTATCTATGATAATATTACGAATTTAGCACTACATTATGGCTAACTTCAAGCTACTGTAACTTCGAAACCAAGTCCAACCGCCAAATTCTGATTTCACTTTCATTTTTAACAAACAAAAGTACATAAGTAGAAAAAAAATAATATATACCATGCATATATTTTTATAATTTCTGTAGTAAATAATATATGCATGGTATATATTATTATAATACAGTCATTAATTGTGTTGTAGAGTTTTAATATTACTGAATCCCAACACTAAACAACGTGGACAGGTAAGCCAAAAACATACGTAAAAGCATTAATTATACGTAATATAAGTATTAGAATGGTAAAAATCAAAGCCACATTTAAATAAAAATATTTATTTTGTTTGGAAATAATGGTACTGTCATTATTAAATACCTGTATTTTATTTTGTGGGATTATTGTTGCAGTATTTAGACCGTAGCATGTGTAAAATGTCTTTAATCACTTTTGGTCGTTAAAACAACCGAACTTTTTATGTGTGTTGATAATTTTCATAGAGAATTGTCATTCTAAACATTAAGAAAATGGGTACCGGTTATACCTGATCATTCTACCACGATTGAATACATAAAATCATTGCTTTTCCGTACCTCAGCAAATCTTTAAACCGCTCCGAGGGTTGCCGATGTCTGCGATTTGTTGTAATGTTTACGCATGTGCGGTAGAAAATATATTCGATCAATGAAATATCTTAACATAATAATGATCGGCAAGACGTGATAAAAAAAAAAAAAAATTAACAGTAGTATTAATTTTGTGACACTCATGTAATGCACGGTGTCGCAAAATCAGTCATTGTTAAATTTTGAAAACTCGGTCATTTCTTGGGCGAAAATCCACATTGTAGT